GGATTGTGGTGGCATTAGACTTTGATGATCATTGATCCATGTTTGAAAATTGCTACTCTATGTATGAGATGGTATCGTATTATTATGTTATTCAACAACACTTAATTAGCAATATGGACGTGTGTAGAATTAGATTTTCATCAATCCTTGATTATACTGACTAATGGGTTGCATTCTTGATGTATAAACTAACTTCGGTACAACAACCCAGTACAATCCCAACTCTGTTGAGGTCTAACGGGTCCTGAAGAAACAGAGAAGCTGTTTCCGTTAGACCCTAGATGCGTTGCTGTGTTTACATCCCAAAATCTCATAGAAAGTAAGAAGCAAAGGAAGTTTGATGTGTTATTTTGATTTCTTCCATTATATGCCCAACAACTAAAACACTTTCATTTAGGACTCCATTTGCCCCATTGGCAATGGTCGGGGTGAAAACTAACTTCAGTGTCTCCAATAATTAAGGCTCTCATAGACTTTGGATAGTTATTACGTCCAGTTGTAATATGCCCGTGGCTCCTAAGCTAATAGATGGACTGAACATTTGTCATTCATATAATATTATACTCCTCTGTCCCACCACTCCCACGTTTGACTTGGAGGGAGTATATCTCAACAATTTTAACTCGTCTTTGAACTGATATATCTATCTTTTTTAAGAGATCATTTTGATTAACTTGGTATTGTCACTCAATGCATGCAGGTCATGAGGAGAAATCTATTGAGACTGGTACGCGTGAAGGAATTTGCTCCAGAGGCCGAGTTTCAAAAACCGTCTCCTTCCTTTACCCTCCCAAATGTCATCTGCAGGTACTAAAAAAAGCAAGAAAAGAAATACTTTTATTGTGAATAAACAAACAATTTTTTTTGTTTTTTGTAAATAGCAAGTGATTGGATTGCTGAATATATATATGCTGGCTGGCAGTTACTGCAATGACTGTAGAGACCTTGACGTGTGTCGAGGTGGAGCATTGGCTACTCAGGAGTGGCGATGCGCTGTTCCTCAGTGCGGGCAACCTTACGACAGGGAAGCATTGGAAAACGGCCTTCTTCAGATCGTGCGGCAGAGGGAAAAGTTGTACCATCTCCAGGATATGGTGTGCCTCAAGTGCAATCAGGTCAAGGCTGCGTATCTGTCAGACCACTGTGCGTGTGGCGGATCATTCAGATGCAAGGAAGACCAGTCCGAGTTCCGGAACAGAATGGAGGTCTTCTCCAATGTCGCTGTCAACCAAAGTTTTCAAGTCCTCCAAGAATGCACATCCTGGATTCTCGAAATCCGACAATAAGCTCAAAGGTTTTTTTTAATGTTTCTCTATTTATGGGATGTCAGTCTTTATATATATATATATATATATATGTAATACACACCCATTGGTCTTACATGCTTTGAGCTTCACCCGGCGGAGCTGTATAGTCAAAATGGTTATGTAGCAATGTACATAGAATGAGTTCATATGATCACTCCAATTAATCACCATTTAAGTGACATTTTTATGAAGAATTACTTAGAGAATAAATCTTAATTATAAAGTACGATTTATGTAATTAAGACTTATTGAGGACTAATTTAGAAAAGCACCTCATTAGAAAAAACTATTTTAGGAATTCACTCTTTAAAATATTTATATTTAATTTCATGATTTTATATAAATACTTAAATAAATTGAATAAAAAACAGCTTAACAAAATAGAAAGTGAGAGACTATCATATAATGGAAATCAAACCAAGAGGGTTAACGGTGCCACTGACTATTTGGAGCATCTATGGTACTACGTTCGCAAAATTGTTGTTTCTTACCCCTTAACCATGTCTTAGGTCGTGTTCTCTTCCACTTATTCGTATTACTTATTACGTAGTATTTTTTTTATTAGAACCAGTTTAGATTAGACTAGATTTGATTAAATCACAAATAACTTTAAATATATTTACATTCAAATCGTAAAGATCAAATCTGATCGAATTAGAACTTATTTCAATTAGAATAAAATCTTTTAGATCATGTAAAGAGAACATGGTCTTCATCCCACCCAACCTTATCTGCTCTCCTTCAAATTTGTGATCATTAGGCAATTAGCCCAGGGGCAACGCAACCAAAATTCAGTTCCACATTAGGCAATGTGTGATCATGTAAGATACACATATCAATTTCTTAGGCACACGGGTCTTAAATATTATAATAACAGATAAATGATATGTATGAAATACTATTAGCTTATTTGCGTATAATATGTGTATTATACACCCATTCATATAATACTCGTATTATACTGTCGAAAATAAATTTTTCACGTGATAAATGTATAATACTACCTCCGTCCCATTTTATAACGCCTGTTTCGGTTTACGATGTTTGACTGAAATTATTTTCAAATCATTTTATATGACAAATGGTATTGAATTAAAAAATAAAAATTACATATTAAAAAACTACATCAAAAGATCTACAAAACTAGTAGTGACAATAATATTTTATTTTATCAAATTGCTAACGAAAATAGAGAAAGAAAGTGAATGAAGTTTGACCCTGTGAATAGTAAACAGACATTATAATTTGGGACGGAGGGAGTAGAACTATTTTTTGACCCCAAACGTATTTACTAACTTTATCCGTATGAAATCATAAAAATTCTCTTCTATCGACCTTGAGAATCAAAATCTAGAAGGCCAAATTTTGGATCAGATCAATTTAATTGTTTGTCTTCCTCCCAAAAATACAAATCTTTAAAAATTTGGCGACTCAACAATCGTAAAAGTATGAGAAGTCGGATCGCAGTTCGATTTATCCATCAACATCCTTTGCTAATTTAATGGGAAAATTCCAAATATGGTACTAAAACAATGCTAATTTCCAAAAGTAGGACCAGTACTACCGGAAACGTTTTTTTAATGACTAGAATGACTAAAATAACCCTGGCCGCTGGATTTGGAGAAACGCGCAAGCCGTAATTTTCGAAAAACGAGAGATATTTACGAGTGAGAAGAAATCTAGGGAACCGAGCTAATCGATCAGGGCATTGAACAATCCAGGCTCACCTTCTCTCGATGCAAATCTATACGAGCAAAAATTCTCTCTCTCTCTCTCTCTCTCTCTCTCTCTCTCTCTCTCTCTCTCTCTCTCTCTCTCTCTGAGAGAACACGAATCTAGGAAAGCGATACCAATTCAATGGCTTCAGTAAATCAATGTTCGATGAAGGTAACAATGGCGTCTAAGATAGGTGAAAGCGAAGACAACGATTTTGTGCCGAGGGAATCCGATGATATGCTTCTGACAATGCCTAACAGACTCGTAAGCTCTAAATTTTACAATTTCAAATTGATGAACATGAATTGAACTTTGAACTTTATGAAATTGAAGTTTATGAAATTGATTGAAGGCATGCATCTGTTATTGTTGATTGAATTCAATAGTTATGAGTTTTCGATTGAGCATGTCTACAATGTCGTCTATTAATGTCTACTTGGTCTAATTACTGTCTACTGAGTTTTATTAATGTCTAATTATTACAGTTTTTTCATTGAGATATAAGTTTTGAAGGCTTAAGAGAATCATAAATCCAGCAGATGTTTTTGTGCTTTGAACAATTCAATTGCGGCTTGTGTGTAATAAGAATAATGTCTGATAATGTCTACCTGGATTATTACAAATTATGAGACTGTGTTCCGTTGGCGTATTACTGTCTACTCGTCTATTAATAAGAATAATATCTGATAATGTCTACCTGAATTATTACAAATTATGAGAATATGTGTTCCGTTGGCGTATTACTGTCTACTAATGTCTACTAATAAGAATAATGTCTGATAATGTCTACCTGGATTATTACAAATTATGAGACTATGTGTTCCGTTGGCGTATTAATTCCTGTTAGGCATTTGAATGAATATAATGATATTTGTGGATATAAAAGTAAGTATTGAGGGATTATGACTAACATAAAGCCCAAGGGATGCTATGATTTGGACAGAGTCTATTAATGTCTATATGGTTTACATGGTTTTATTGTGATGATGAGACAGTGTCTTTGGTTAGTGAATGAATGTCCTGTTAAGTCTTAAAATGATTATAATGGCATTTTTTATTGGGACATAAAATTTTGAGGGCTTATGAGAAGCATAAAGTCAAGCGGATGTTACTGTGCATTGAAGTTCGTGTATTAATGTCCTCTAAGGCATTTGAAAGAAAACGTAAAATACTTTCTAATGCAATTTGTGTTGTGTTTTGGAAACGAAGTGAACAAAATTTTGTTTAATGTGACAGGTCTATAAACGCCTATGTAAGCCGAACCCATTGGATACAAAAACTGAAGCTAAAATAAATTCATACTGCAATGTTGGTAATGGGGTTAAGAAGTTGAAATAAGTGCTTTCAAAAGAAGAACTAAGTGAATTATGAGAGACTGCTTTTGGATATTGGTTAGGCATTGGAGAATTGAAATGTGTTAATGGCCAACTTCTGATTCTTCTCACACTCAACCATGTGGAGCCGATGGACAGAGTGCACACCTCTGAAGAAATTTCATTTTCCATTTGTGGCAGACTGATTAAATTCACAAAGAAAGACTTCCAGGAAGTGAGTGGTTTTAGGTTTGGGAGCAGCAGTGAAAAAATGGAGAATTATACAGAACCAAGTGACATAAGTAAAAGATACTTCAATGGTCAAATGAATGTGACAAGAGAAGATGTGAAGATTGAATTTGAGAGAGTAAAGAGAAATAAAAATAGAGAAGCTTTAGATGCGGTGAATTTTGGGCTCCTATACATGTTAGGGACCTGTATAATTGGTAACCAGCCAAGTATTAAACTCCCTGGACTGTATCTCCACTTGGTCGATGATTTATCCAAGTTTAATAGGTATCCATGGGGAGAAGATGTGTGGAAAGATCTGGTAGAGAATGTTCGGAAATGCTGTTGTATTATGAATACAAGCAAGAAACCAAGGTTCAATATCCCTGGATTCCATTTCGCTTTACAGATATGGGCGTATGAAACATTTCAAGCACTGATGCAAGAGATGAAATGTATACTGGACGAAGGAAAGAAGACATCATGGCCAAGGGCATTGAGATGGTCAGCGGACGGGAGGACCACCAAAGAGTTGTTGGAGAAGAAAATATTCAAAAATGAAAAGATAAAACTTAAAAAAACAAAAGAGATGAGTGGGGTACTGTTTTGTATATAATATTGTATTTTTTTTATCAAAATTAAATTTACATTGAATCATAATATGCCATTGTTTTGATTTGCAGTTTGAGTGGACAGAGATGGTAAAATCTGATGAAGAAAAAGTCATACTCAAAAAAGCCAGGAACCGCCTATCTCAAAAAAGTCATTCTCTTGTGAGTGAACATGGGGATGCTTTACATGCTACAGCAAATGCCAGAAAGAGGAAAAGCCCCGAGCAATGCATCCAAAAAGGGAAAAGCCCCGAGAAGACAAAAATGAATCCAAAAAAGACATAAAAAACACACAGTCCTCAAATCATTTTGGAGAAGCTGATTGGATGAATGGGTTGTTGACTGAGGCAAACACTAATCCCAATTGCCAGGTTTGACACATAAATTTTTAGCAATTAACATCCTGACAATGACCATATTTAATTGTTCATCTTGATGACACAAGAAACTATGCACGTGGTTGAAGCTGATTTGGGAACATTACATAAAATTAGTGACCAGAAAGGCATTGACAATAAAGTCATTGACCAGCAGGTACGTACTAAAACATATAATGCAAAGCTACATGATTATGTTTAATAAGATGGTTGCAATTGGAGTTGAAATTACATACTAAGAGATAAATCATGGTATAGGTGATGGAAGATGGTTTGGAGGAAGGCCAGAAAATGGAGAGTGTCATTGATAGTGTGGAAACAACATCACAAGCTGCTCGGGTATATTTAGTCTAGTTGATATGGAACATTTTTCAGTTGGTAGAGTGTCATTTTGTTTATTTCCAATGACTAATTGTTGCATTACATTTGATTTGTACAGGCAGTAGAGGATTTGGATCCAACCATTTGGGACATTAGTCCTTACTCTGAACAACCAAAGGTCGCAGAGGGTATCCTCAATTATTTGTTTCCCACTGAACAACCACATCTCCTAAATGATGTTCCCACTGAACAACCACAAGTCCTCACTGATATTCCCACTGAACCATCACAAATCGTCAATGATATTCCCAATGAACCACCACAAATGCCCAATGTTGTTCCCATTGAACCACGCCAAGTCCTCACTGATATTCCCACTAAACAACCACAAATCCTCAATGATATTCCCACTGAACCACAACAAGTCCTCAATGATGATCCCAGTGATGGTATAGATGCTGAACCATAGCTCAATGTTGGTCAACTTGAGGACATTCAGTATGAACAAGCACAAGACCCGGATTGTATAGATGCTGAGGAACAACACACTAAGGATATTGCCATTGACCAACCAAAAGACACTGCAAGGCAGAAGAGGGTTGTGAAATGCCCAGATAAGTTTACTCATTCTAACAAAAAATTAAAGACAAGAAAGGCAAAGAGCAGACAAGGACCACAGACATCTAAACAGAAAACCACAGATGGTGGTGATGACAGTTCGCAACCCAACAATGTGGAGGACGAAGCTGGCATGGCAGAAAGTTATCCCAAAGGGCCAAAATTAGCATTAACTGCTGAGAATGTGTTGTTTTTAGCACAAGGTCTCCTAAGCAAGAAGAAAAAAGCAAATGACACAAAGTACACAAGCCAGGAAAATACTTTAAACCCAAAAGAATTTTGGTCACTGTGGGGGCATGACGAGACAATGACAAAAACGTGGTACCATGGATTCTTCTACCCTCATGAATGGATGGATGATGTGGTAAGTATGAACATACACATTTTATTAAAAGATTATACAAATATGGTTATGGATTTTTAAATATACTAATGACTTACAATGCTTTATCTACTACAGCATGTAACTGTGGCCTTGAAATACTTGGTCATGAAAGCACAAGAATATGGCTTGACCCAGCCATTTGCAGTAACAGACAGCCTATTTGTCAGTCTCTTGAAGAAAGAATATGACAACTACTTGGGAAAAAGGAAAACCATTGCTGAAGCAGCATTGAACACTTCAATACTGAAACCAATCCTAGGGGCTGTGCCAGAATTGGGAGGACGCTAGGCAGAATGTGATTACGTGTACATGCCAATCAACACTCGAAACCATTGGATACTGGCTGTGCTTGACATATCAAAGAAATGCATCAGGCTGTATGATTCTAACCAAAAGGGGAAGACCAGTCGCCACACAAAAACATGCCTTCCATGTCTACATATCTTACTACCAAAGGTGATGGACAAACTGGAAGTGTACAAGGAGCGGAAAATGTCTGAGATGGGAGATGATGTGCTAGGCATTGTAAACGTAAATGATTGTAATAACATGTAATATAATTAAACCACCATAATGTCCAATGTACGTAATAATATGCAGGGTGAGCTGTGGCGTATTCGTTGTAAAGTTGGCTGAGCATCTAATCATGGGGATGGAAGTGGATGAAGTGGATGTTGCAGGCATTGAGAGTTTCAGGAAAAAATTGCAACAGAAGTGCTGTTATATGCAAACAGGAGGGCTGACCAAGAGGGCTGACCAAGTTTAAAAAACTTTTATGTTTACTTTTAGTATGGTGTTGTAGTAGTTGCACTATGGGTTTTTAGTGCAGTATCAGTACTTTTCCTATTATTAATAATATGGGTTGTAAGTGCACAGTATGACATTACTGTGCAGTAATGACATTACTTTTTTGGATAAAATTGGGACACAGTATTTGATGAATATTTTTTTGAAAAGGGGAGTAAACAAGTAACCTTTAAACACGTGAGTAAACTTTTATCAATGACAAAATCACTTCTTCAAACAAATAACTTTTATTAAGAAATGACACACCCAAACCATTCAATGTCAAATAATCTGGCATTGTAATGTTGGCATGAGCAAACACAATCTTTTAAACACATGGAATCTCTTTAAATCTCTCTTTGGCTGATACTAATGACATACTTTTATCAAAGAATGGCAATCCCTACAGACCCTCATGTTCTTGAGGACATCACTAAAACCAGGGCTAGAAAGCAAAGGCAGGAGAAGGAGGGGGAGGGGGTATCATTGAAAATACTTTAGGACTTTGGTTATATTTGATGTTATTTAACGGAACTTACAGGAAAACAGAATGACCCATTCCACAAACACATGAATATCATGGCATTCAACACAAATGAAAAGTAAAAACAACAGAGCTGAAGAAAAGAGTGAAATAACATAATATTAGGATCAATTTCAAAAATACAATACAAAAAGGACTTGGAATGTTCATGAATTAGAAAGAAACATATGCTCCATTCCAAAAAAAAGATACTCTTGCATAAAGACTTATGTGCGACGGATAGAAAGGGGGTTGGTGCAGGTTTTTTTTATTATGTCCAGGCATTGTATACCGGGAGCAACATTGCCTGCTCGTAGTCTCACCCCTGGATGGAATTCGCCGCTTCTTGGGTCTTCTAGGTGGGCGTTTAGAACATGAGGGAGGTCTACACAAAATACCCGACACAACCTCTGGAACAACCCAACTGTCTCTACTACCCAATGGGTGTATAATACCTTCATATACTGCAATCCACTTAGAAGTAGTGTAGTATTTTGATATAAATTCATAGCATGAAACACTTGGGCGTGTACGAATAGCTGCAACAGCACGAACACATACAAAGTGATCGGTCTGGAACTCACAACAAGTACAAGTCCTGAACCGAAGATTAACTACAAAAGCCCTTCTAGTGGTTTCCAAAACCTGGAACTCATACTCACACGATGGGCGAACCTGAAAAAATATTCTTGATAGTCAAAGTATGAAAAACATATAGTCATAAGAAAATACATTGTGGCAGTAGAATAAAATAAATGAAAAAGAAACAAGAATGTGAATATAATGCCTTGTGAGACGTACACTCATGACTGCAGACGAAGCATGTAGCTCATTCAACTTTGCTTCATAATGCCTTGTCAGAATAGATGACGTAGAATTAGCCAAGGTTCTCCGTTCATGGAACCATTTTTGCATCCTCACAATTATGAAATCAATTGGTTGTGCAATGGGATACTCGCGGGCTGAAGCATCAACACTATTCATTGACTCAGCACTGTTTGATGTCATGATTGAGTATCAATTGTTTGCTGATTCTGCCCGAGACCACTTCGAAAATCCAATGCGTGCTAGATATGGCTGAATGGCTGGATCCTCCTTATCTAACAATTTCATATACCAATTCCGTTCACGAACAGTTGCAGCCTTTGCAGCACAAATAAACTTCCATGTAACAGCTTTTGCAGAGCCACGGAATGATGTCTTAATGTTACCAAGAATGTGATATATACAATGTCCATGCATAACGTTTGGGAAAATAGACTGCACAACACTTATAATGCCATCATGGCGGTCAGACACAATATACTTCACTTCTTGAGCTACAAGGACCTCTTTAACCTTTTTTAAAAACCACTTCCAATTCGCAGTGTCTTCAGCATCACAAATGGCAAAGGCCAGTGGGAATATTTGTTTGTTCCCATCCCGTGCAACAGCGGTTAGTAGCGTGCCTTTATAGTATGATTTCATGAATGACCCATCAATAATCAAAACTAGAATGCAGTGAGCCCATCCATCTTTCCAAGCACATAGAGACATGAAGAAATACTTAAAGAACCCATTATCAAATGTGTTAAGCTCAATGGTGGAACCTGGATTTGAATTTTTTAGCATATAACACATTGATGGCAGCATTGCATATGACTCTTCATCTGATCCAAAACTTAATTTCAAAGCCTTTTCTTTCGCAAACCATGCTTTCTTATAATTCATAAAAATTCCATGGTCCATACGCATGTTTGATATTATAGACTTAGGAGGTGTTAGAGAGTGGCATCCCACATCGGAAGTTTAAGAGCAACAATAATCAGGATATAAGATCTTGAATTGAACTAACTAATTGATTGGATTCAATCTTTTAATGTGGTTCAGCCCAAGTGTCTTATTGCCCAATCCAGTTGTCCATACCCATCCTAAATTGTATCATGGTATCAGAGCCACTTTTAGCCCACCTCGTTTGTCAAGGTGTCTGTCTAGACGTTCATTCCTAGCGGCCCGTTAGTCTTTAGCGCAGTTGTCCGTATGGAGTATGTACCCAATGGCCTGTGGCCCGTTTAACACGATTGCTCGTCTGGAAGTCCATACCCAGCGGCTCGTGGTTCTTTAAGGTGTTTGCGCTCAAAAAAAATCAAGAGAATGGGAGTTTATTTGCAAGTGGTCAACCGGTTAGATTCAAAATGGCCCGGTTGTCCACTTGAGGGGGAGTGTTAGAGAGTGGCATCCCACATCTGAAGTTCAAGAGCAAAAATAATCGGTATATAAGCTCTTGAATTGAACTAACTAATTGATTGGATTCAATCTTTTAATGTGGTTCAGCCTAAGTGTCTTATTGCCCAATCCAGTTGTCCATACCCATCCTAAATTGCCACGCAGTTTAAAAAAAAAATTAAAGTTTCATGTGCAAGACTCGAAAAAGACTACGCCTGCACGTGAGGGGGCGTGTTAGAATATAAATAACTGTTCCTGAGCCACAACCACAAGCTTGAGCTTTTGGTTGAGTTGGTTCCTTGACATGGTATTAGAGCCTTGGTGACTAAGAGGTCACGAGTTTGAAACTCATCGCCGCCCAATTTTAAAAAAATTAAGGTTTCACGTGCATGACTCAGAGAGGTCACACCTGCACGTGACGGGGCGTGTTAGAGTATATAACAATCATTTCTGGGCCACAACCACAAGCTTGAGCTTTTGGTTGAGTTGGTTCCTTGACAGGAGGATACGGCTTCTGCGTCACATCATTGAGTTGATGCTTGATAAGATTAACAACAATTAAAGAAGTAGCCTGGCGAGTCTTTTCCTGTCTAACATCAACAGGACATTGATGTTCAAAGTCATACCTGGGAGAATATACTTGCTTCAGATGATGACAAATAGGTGCATTGAAGTGTAAATACTAAAAACTCATAAATAAAAATGTCGTATAACAGTATAAACACCACTAACACAAGAATCTTTGGACAACAAAAGCGGTGAAAGTCTAACAACACTTAGCAACATAATGAGTAGAAATGCTACCTATGAATCTGAAACATTTCACTGCGTGGCATTTTAACAGCTCTGACAGCCCACTTGCAGTTGCTACTATCTACACATACAACATGTAAAACTTTCTTTGTGGATTTCCTCATTCTATATTGAAAATAGTTACTAATAGCCAACATTTTTAAGTGGTAATCCAGCACTTCCTTGCTCTCATATATTGCATCAACAGCTATTGTAGTGGGGTGGAAATGGGATAAGATCTCAAAATCTGGGGACATATACAATACTTCATCAGATGTCACTGGATGAGTGCCACTGGAATAATCAGTGCCTTCTGAATCATAACTTGTCCCATCCGTACTAAACGACATTGATGATGAGGTGGATGTAGTAGATGCAGGTGCAGGTTAAAAAGAAGATGGAGAATGAACTAGAAGATGATATTTATCAATAAATGAGACAGTATTTTCTTCATTGGCCGCTACATTATTCTCAGTAGGCATTGAATTATTGTCATCTGAACTAAAATTCAAAGACATTGACCACGGAGGCTGGGGACCAGATTCAGACATCAATGAAACAGTGTTTACATGATTGACAAGCGCAATGTCCCCAGTAGGCATTGAATGATTGTCATCTAAACTGAAATTCAAAGACATTGACGATGGAGGCTGAGGACCATATTGAGCATGTGAAATCAAAGGCAAAACAGGATTTGATGTTGCGTTGAGCAAATTGGGGAAGAATTGAACACACAATGGCATCATCACATCATCTCTGTAAAAGGATTTCAGTTGCAAGTAAAATCGAAAACTGGAATCATCATCAATAACAACAGGGGGAGGGCAAACTGGCAACAAAAACGAAAATCAAAAATCATATTGCGCACAATCGTCACCAATCGCTACACGAACAACGTCCATTAGGTCTGCGAAATAACTTTTAGAATGGATTTCCAACTCACAGTTACGTTTAGAATGAAAGGAGGAATCATCACTCCATTCGCCATCAACATTCAGCAATACACGATATGAAGGAGGTTGAGTAGACATTGATTTGAGAGAGGAGAGTATGATCGATTTGCAGAAAGAAGAAGAAGAGAGCGCGCGGCGGAAAATTGAATCGGAGAAGAAGGTGAAATTTAGACGCAAATAACAGAGGGTAAAATAGGGAGATCAGGTGCAAATTAGTTCCATTTTTGAAAAAAAACAAGTGGTACTAAAAGGGGAAATGCACCAAGTTTTGCTACCATCCGTGGCAAATTTAACCAATTTAATTTCATCCACGGTCTACCAGTGTCTTCGACTCCATTCGGCTAGGAGTCCAAGACTCCAAGTCTCCAACTGCCCCCGCAAATAGTAGACAATATCATTCTCTCTTTTAATTTAAATTTTTAAAATGCAATCAATTCTTTGTATGTATATCTTAAGGTTAAATATCTATCCAAGTTTAAAAATACCAATTTGATTTTATTTGTGTGATCTGAATTCTAAAAGTCTAAGTTCGTAGCTGTATTTTTTATTCTAAAAATGAAAAATTAAAAAGTTTATTTCATTTTACTCCATTTTAGATTGCGTAAAAGATTATTTATTGAGTTTATATTTATATTACAAAGAGAATAAATTGGTCAAAGTGTCTAATCAATTTTGTAAAACTCAAAGTGTCTAATAGTATAATTTGTCATATCTCAAATGTTCGAGTCGTGTCGAAATGTTAGTTTCATTTTTAAGAGCTTGTTCTGACTTTGGTACTCCCTTTGTCGTGAAAAACTTTTCCAATTTTGACTTTAGGGAAGGGGAGATATAGAAGTTTGACTAAGACAAAATAACAACAATTGAAATAAGTTAGGCTCCAGAAATGTCAAAATGAGTAGAATGTAGAAGGTAGTTGAGGTATGTCTAATTAGATTTAAAAAAAACGTAAGGGAAATTGTGTTCATGGTCTGGGCCGAGGCGGGAAAAAAGGCCCTATGACCTTAGCCCTAATGCACTAACAAATTAAAGTGTGCAAACTAATTATATTTAAATGAGACAATTAACATAATAGTATTCTAAAAAAATAAATGACAAAATTGTAGTAAAGGATTTATATATACTTACTTTCCCAAACCAATGTTCTGAAAATTAGACAAGGCATTGCCCCGTATGAGGTAGTAGGTCAAGGGTTAATCTACTGAACCAGTCGACCTCGACATCAATGACCTAGTCAGCTACAATTAAAATAATAATATTTTTATTATATTATAAAATATTTTTAATTGATAAAGAATTTTAAATTGTGTTTTTCACTATTCCGTCTACTTTTCAATATCCTTTTGCATACGTGGTCACACTTTCAATTTTCCATTTGTATTATTTTTTATTACTATTAAAGATAAATAATAGTGTATAACACTCCGTAGTAAGGTATTACTCATATTTTCAAAAAATTAAGGCTAGGTAATGTGTTGTTAATTAATTATATACTACTCTGTAATTCGTATGTAACACTTCACATTTTATTTAGTTGATTGAAACGAGAAAATATAGAAGAAAAAATTAATTTTAATATATTAAAGTATAATTATTAAATATATTTTTAATATTTATTCATGAAAATAATTCTTAGGTATTTCTTCTGAAAAAACAAAATCTCTAGCGTGTGTTACTTTTTCTAAATAAATGGAGGTTTTATTGAAATCAACACAACTAATATAATATCGGGAAAATGCCAAATATGGTACTAAAACAATGCAAAATTCCAAAAGTAGGACCAATGTTAGAATAAAGGCCCAACGCTAGAGGGGGGGGGGGTGAATAACATTTAAAACAAAATTGCAGGAAATTAAAAACGAGAGCGCAAAAGTAAAGAGCGTAAAGAAGGAGCACACCGAATTTTATCCTGGTTCACCACAACGTGTGGCTAATCCAGCCCTCCGAGAGACTCTCTCGAGCTACACTAACTCCGTTAAGCTTAAGGGTGCTTAACAAACCGATACAACTTGAGAACCCGAGTCACACAAGCCTCAACACCTTTGCTCGGAGATACCGCACTCCAAGACTTCTCACGAAGGAACAAAGAACTTCCTTCGAATTTACAACAAGGGAACACCTCCCTTAAAGTGTATGAAAATACTTAAATACCCAGGAATAAAACTCCCACAAAGATTAGATATGAGTGAACTAGTAAACACTCAAGAACACGACAATTTCTTCAAGAATTGGCTCTCAAATAGCTAAGAAAATTAGGAATGCTTATGCAATGAAAGAGTACTGAAATATTGAAGAATTGTGTGTAAAATGAGAGGATTTGAAACGTAGCTTCATCGGTTCCCGGGTGGAAGGAAGACTCGTCAATCTCCCAATGCTTCGTTCCTTTTCATTTGGGCCCGACGTCCGTCTTGATGTGGAACTCATCAAGGATCGCCATGACAAGGAGAGCATAGGGGAGTGGCCGGTTGTCGGAAGGGATATCACCAATTTATAGTGGAGGAGGCCTGAAGATCCGTTGGTGTGGTCAAATGTGGGTTTAATGTAGTTCCAACGGTTAGAAAACGGTCAGATTTTTGAAAATCTGCCGTTGGTAATCGATTTACCCAACTTGTAAATCGATTATCTGAGTCTTCAGATTCTCCGCCAAAAGATCTGCAGACTTCAATAGTCGATTTACACAAGACGTATAATCGATTATCGATGGTTTGCGCCTGATTTGCTTCAAACTTCTGCGGGCAGTGATAGTCGATTATCCTAATGTTGATAATCGATTGTTGGCTCCTTCAGTTTCTTTGCTCCAATCTTCCGCGGGCTGTGATGGTCGATTATCACAAACCTGTAAATTGATTTAGACCAAGTCCGGAGACAAAAAAAATTGATTTACTTTGTTCCCCCTGACTTTGACACCTGAAAATGAAATTAAAAGAAGAGCCCTGCAAAAAAGAATTAAAAGCGTCTCCGACGTTCAAGTTAGTAAGGATAAAAAATGATAATTAATGCACAACTTAGATCATCGTGGAGTCAAAGATTCTGAGTTCACTACGAATGCGGAAGAACGACTCTTTCTCTAAAGGTTTTGTGAAAATGTCGGCTAATTGGTTGTGTGTTTCAACGAACTCAATTTCGACATCACCTTTGAGAACATGATCTCTAATGAAATGATGCCTAATGTCAATATGTTTCATCCTTGAGTGAAGAACCGGATTCTTCGTCAAGCTTATGGCGCTAGTATTATCACATCGAAGAAGGACGTGATCGATACTAAGACCATAATCCACAAGTTGTTGCTTCATCTAAAGGATTTGAGCACAACAACTACCGGCGACAACATATTCCGCTTCGGTTGTGGATAACGCAACACTGACTTGCTTCTTGCTAAACCATGAGACTAAAGAACTACCAAGCAAGTGACACGTCCCACTTGTACTTTTACGGTCTAACCTACAACCGGAAAAGTCCGAGTCGGAATAGCCAAAAAGATGACAAGGAGACCCTTTGGGGTACCATAATCCAACGTTCATTGTACCAACACGATATTTCATTATCCGTTTCACCGCTGTTAAATGCGATTCTTTCGAACAAGATTGATACCTTGCACATAAACAAACGCTAAACATGATATCGGGTCTACTAGCGGTAAGATAAAGAAGGGATCCGATCATACCTCGATACTTCTTTACGTCTACTTCCTTACCCTTTTCATCTTTGTCCAGGTGCTCGGAGGTGCTCATTGGGGTAGCCATTGCTTTGGAGCCATCCATCTCAAATCTCTTTAGGACTCCTTGCAATACTTTGATTGACAAATGAAGGTCCCTTCCCTCATTTGTTTGACTTGTAACCCCAAGAAGAAATTGAGTTCCCCCATCATGGACATCTCAAATTCATTTGTCATTAAGTTTGAAAATTCCTTGCACAAAGACTCGTTAGTAGCACCGAATATAATGTCATCTACGTAAACTTGCACCAAGAGGATGTTATCGTTTTTACACTTGATAAAAAGTGTAGTGTTAACCTTTCCCCTTTTGAACCCTTTGTCCAAAAGAAATTTGCTCAAACGTTCAAACCAAGCACGAGGTGCTTGTTTAAGACCGTAGAGTGCTTTCTTTAGTTTGTAGACATACTCCGGGTGCTCAAAATCCTCAAAGCCCGGGGGTTGATCAACATACACTTCCTCTTGAATAAAACCATTGAGGAAGGCACTCTTAACATCCATTTGGTATAGTTTAAATTCCATATATGAAGCAAAAGCGAGTAATAAACGAATTGCTTCTAAACGTGCTACTAGTGCATAAGTTTTTCAAAATCAATGCCTTCTTCTTGATTGTAGCCTTTAGCTACAAGCCTAGCTTTGTTTATAGTGATTATTCCATTTTCATCGAGCTTGTTACGGAACACCCATTTCGTACCAATTATGGTGTGATCATCGGGTCTTGGCACCAATTCCCAAACGTCATTTCGTTTGAATTGGTTTAGTTCCTCTTGCATAGCCAAGGTCCAATGTTCATCGTTTATTGCTTCGGAAATGGTTGTAGGTTCAATTTGAGATACAAAAGCCATGTGTCCTACGGTGTCCCTAAGAGAGTTACGAGTACTTACCCCGCGGTTGATGCTGCCGATTACCTGGTCAAGTGGATGGTTCCTGTGCGTTCTCCAAGCTATGGGAAGCTCGGTTGTTTCTTCTTCGTGTTCCTCTTGTCCTTCTTCTTCCTCCTGATTTTCTTCCTCACCTTGGTTAGTCGTTTGAGGTATCTCCTCAGTTTGCGGCTGTGTGTTGATGTATATTCCGGTGTTGTCTTCATCGTCATCAACATGTATTCTTTCTAATGATTCTGCAAGGTCATCACAAATATCCTTTCTCGCCAAGCGAGGGTTATCTTCGGAGAATACAAC